CTCATCAAGAGCGCCAATCCGGATACGCCGACATACAGTCCGTAGACGCCTCGCAGGCCATACACGTACGCATCCACGATCTTGGATCGCAGCTCAGCGTCGTCGGTCGCGGCGAACAGGGAGGAAATAGCATGGGCACCCCCGTGCGTACCTGCGGGGGCCAAGCCATCGTCCTCTAGCTTGCGCAGCATCACATTCTGGAAAGTGGATCCGCCGACGCCCACTCCGATTGCCATGCCAAACTGTCGGAGAAAGGCGTACATCGCCGTGGCGATCGCTTCGTCGCCTTTGTCGCAGAGAGCGTGCGACGCCATGTTCTGCGCGTTCAAAATGGAGCCATGGCCAAGACCAAGAAGGACGAGCGTCGGCGCCCATGCCTTCGTCGGCGTCTCGACGTCCCACAGCATCATCAGCCCGGAGGCGACGGTGGCCAGAGCCCAGCCAGCCCAGATCGGCCACTGGTAGTTGTTGAATACCGTGACAAGTCGACCGGTGATGATGGATGCCGGCACCAGCGTGAACATGACGGGGAAGAGTGCGACGCCGGTCTGGACCGGAGTAAACCCCTTGACATCCATAAAGTACAGGGGCACGTAATACAGCTGCCCGTACATCTGTGGTCACTGTCAGCGTGTCACATTGCGCGCTTGGTATCATATCGCTCTTACCACGAGGCCTTGGATGGCGCCGCAAACATACGTCGCGATGGAGCTGGCGGTCTGGAAAAGTCGGCGTTGCAAGAACGGGGACATCGCGAAGCATGACTCGTAGATGATAGTCAGCGCCATACCGACTGCCCCGAGCAGCAATGGCACAAGAGTGCCTGCGCTGCCCCAACTGTAGCGCAAACCTCCCCAGGAGACGGCCACCAGCAACAAGGTGGCCGAGCCGATGAACATAGAGTTCCCCAGCCAGTCCATGTCCTCGAGTTTCTTACGCATTTCATCAGCCGGAGACGCAATGTTGACGAGCCAGGGCACGAGAACAAGTCCAGCCGCGCAAAATGGGAACATGATGTAGAAAATCCAACGCCAAGTTGTGTGCTGAGCGATGACGCCGCCTAGTATAGGACCGGCACAGTTGCCCAACGCCCATGCTGCCTGACTAGAGATGAACGGCGCGGTCAGCGGAAGGAAGAACGAGCCCGAGAGGGAGGGTCCTCACACTACGCCGTACCACGTAGGTCGGACCGGCAAAGGGACAAAGTCGGTGAAAATCAACAGGCATAAGACGATGATGCCAGCACCGCCGATGCCTTGGAGAGACCGCCCCACCAATATCAAGCCGATGGAACGCGACACGCAGCAGAAGAC